TGGTAGTTATTTTTGCATTCATGGCCCGGGAAATGGACACAGCAAATAAATGCTAAATTAAAATTAACTATTGTTGGCATAATAATAGAATATTGTTATTTTTACAATAGTTGCAGTTGAAAAAAGGCTTATTAAAACAAAAAAAAAATCCTATTTTGAATTTATATGAATAAGTATTATTGAAATAAAAAAATGCAATATAAGTTCAACCGGAATTGTTTGTTTAAATACATCTAAAGTTTTTTTTTTGGTTCAATGCAAACAATTTTCTGTCCGTGTAGCATGTCAAATCCATGTCGACGTTCGCCACACGCCACACGACGATGTTTTGACATGTTGTATGAAGCCATACCGACGCCTGACCTTATACTTGGTGCCGTCGTAAGCCACATCACAAGCAGCTTCAATTCCATGTACTCCAGAGCCCGCTGTTGCGTATAAACCTTGATTGACCGCTTCCAGCATCAAAGCGGAAAACCGTTTCTACGTATTCGTATCGATACTTACCACTTGCCTAATCTCCTTATCCGAATCAGTGCCGATAGCTTTTAATATGAAGGTCATAGGAATCTCTTCCATCAAATCGCACTTCAAATAGTACGTTCATTACATGTTTCGACATCAGAATCGCTCAGGACCTCTTCTCTTGGTTCGAACTCGTTATCTCCCGTAAAAAAAAATCCAATAAAAATACAATGATTTTCATTGTCATTGTAACCATGATATTTACTGTCAAAACATTGGACATTTTTGTCCATTACCATAAAATCACAACGAAATTCATGTCACAACAATGAAAATCATGGTATTTGAGAAATTTACAGTAAAAAGGGGGGTTGTTAAGCATCTTAACAATATAAAAAAGTGATTTTCATGAACAAATTTGATCTCATCACACTAATTTTCGTTGTTTGAGCATTGTATCATTTAAAATCGAAATCTGTTTTTTTCTCCCGTACAATAATTTAACAATAAATTTTAATGTACTCGAAATTCAACAGTAAAAATCATTGTAATCTCGTTGTTTATGTTTTTTCCAAGCTGACACTGGATTACGTAATAATAATCATGTTGTTCCAGGAAACATGTTCTGGAATCAGAATCACCTTCTCTGTTCGTGCTAAAATTACCGAAGCAAACAAACTTTGCACACGCACACATATGTAGGGATGAAAACCAAACACCTTTGTTTTATTGTTTTATTGTTGTTTTACATCAACAGGCTGGATGAAATCTCAATGATGTTAACCTTATCAACTATAGTAAAAAAAATACATTCAAGCATAAGGTTATAACATAAAAAACATTAAAAAAACATAAATCTTAAGGGTCGCCCACATTAAATCCGTTTGCGTTGCGTTAACGTAGGGTCAGGTGGGGCAAGAGTGCCATATGGGGCAAAAGTGCCACCTGCTTGTATCGAAGCCTGAAATACATTTTTGATATTTCTTATTAATGGGATGCTATAAAAAGCCCTTCAGATATACTGCATCAAATTTGGTTATACATTATGATGTAAATATTATCAAAAAATCTAAAAAACTTACACGTTGTCGAAAACTTCAAAATGTAATAAGAAATCGATGACATAAAATAAGCTTTTTCTCATAATTTTTCTAAGAAAATTTAATAATACGATGTAGATTTTATTGTACGGTAATACATTTTGCGACCCTCAATATATAAATACTTATTGTTGCATGTAGATCCTCAAAAAACGTATTTGAAATTCGTCTTCTCCACGGGGGCAAGAGCGCCATACTTGCCTGGGGCAAAAGAGCCATAGTAAACAAGACATATAACCTCAAAAAGTTGTCGCCTCAGAGTGAAGTTTCGAAGTGATGGTGCGAAAATCGTTGCGTAAATCGTGGTCGGAACAGAATATGGTTGCGGCCATACGATCCGTGACTAAATATGGGATTTCTGTGCGAAGAGCAGCAGTGGAACACGGTGTCCCTCGCAAAACGCTATCGAAATATGTGCTGCTGGCGTTGGAACCTGGATCGCAACATTTGGGGCGCTTCGAGCAAGTTTTTTCTGTGCAACAGGAACAGGAACTAGTTGAGCATGTTATCAAACTGGAACTGGAACTGGAATTTTTATTACAACGAACAATAAAATTGCACAATGCTTTTTTTAAGGCTTAATTTTTTTTTAATACATGTTTAAAGGATTACTTGACACTGTTGGTTAAATCTTTCACCTTGTTGACTAATTAAAAAGTAGTTTAAGAAGAATATGAACCGTTTGATTGCGAAATTTTGATGATTTTCTTGTTATTGAGTTATATGGCCGTCTTGCCCCATGGGGGTGGCACTTTTGCCCCACACTGTTTTTTAGCCTTTGTTGATAAGGCATATGAAAACAATTAAGAAAAAATATTTAACGTTTACATATTCAGTTTCAGATACAACAGGTTTAAGTAGAGGATGTTTAAGATTCTATGTACATCATTTGTTTAAAAAAAAGTTAGATTAATCTATGTTTATTGAAAGATTTTCTTAACGTGGCACACTTGCCCCACCTGACCCTACTCATGCCGGCGAAAAACAGAAGAAAATTTTCGACGAAGCGCATTACGGGAGAGATGAAAGTCGGCAAATCGCACCGTGCGACGTAGAGGCAGTCTTAACATAAGGTTATTACGGAGCGGTGCTGGTTGAACATTCAGGTCAATTTTCCTCAGGATAGCCTCGTAATCTGTCCTACCTTGCAGGATATCGGCCACGGCTAAGGCTCTGCTTGTGTCTCTTCTAGTCCGGAAAAGTTCTACACGATATTTCAAAACTACCCAAATTTGGGTAGAATCCACCCAGATCGGTCAAAACTGATCCTACCCAAAAATGGGTAAACTGTGTTGGGAGTGACAAGTTGACAAATGAACAACGTCGATCGGATCCATGTCAATGTTGTTCATTTGTCAACTTGTCACTCCCAACACAGTTTACCCATTTTTGGGTAGGTTCAGTTTTGACCGATCTGGGTGGATTCTACCAAAATTTGGGTAGTTTTGAAATAGCGTGTAAGTCGATAAGTTGACAACGGCTTTCGTAACTGCGTAAACGAAACGGATCATTCCAAGAAAATCTACGCAACGCAAAACGAAGAAAGCGACGTTGAACAGATTCAATTCTCTCGGCACCGTTGTTGTAGTTTGGGTTCCAAACCGCTGAACAATACTCAAGCGTCGATCGAACAAGCGAACAATAGAGAGATTTTAGACAGTAGATATCAGTGAAGTTTTTAGCTATCCTAAAAATGAACGCCAAAGTTCTTGACGCCTTATCAACAACATATGCAATGTTTTGCTTGAATGAAAGCTGCGAATCCAAGATCACACCCAAGTCTTTCACCTGATTCACGCGTTCGATTGTCGAGCCAAGCAGGTCATAAAACTATGCGTTGCGCTGATCGTGTTTCATTTTTGACAATTTCAAATTTTAGAATTGTCAAGTAGTTTGAAACAATCTTGAAACTCAGCATTACGAACGGCCTAAGACAAACAAATTGCTGTCAGAAAACAATGAGTAACTTTTGAAATAAGACAAAATACTATGAATGTATGTTTCAGGGTGACCACTACATTAAAGATTTTTTTTCCTTGATTTGTTTTCCGTCGATCTTGTTTTCCGTGCTGAGCACCAATGCTACCGACGCCAGGGAGGCAGCTCTCACCTGGACCCTACCTATCGATCCATCAATTCATGAACCGGGGACCAACGGCTTTACTTCCCTTTCGAAGGAAGGCGTGATCAGAAATGTGATGCCTCAGAACATCCCGGCGACGCCGACTGGCATTGAACCCAGTCCTGCTGGGGTGTTAGGTAATCACGCTTACCACTACACCACCGGCGCCGCAATTAAAGAATTTAAATTCCAGTTTTTCCCGGTTGTCTAACGTAGTTTTCCGGTATGATTAAAACCTATTAAAACAACTAAACTGTGATAAAACACGTAAAAGTATTGTCTCTCTTTATTAGTTTTTGTTAGCCTTGTCTCCCCGTCTCGATGAGTCTCATCATCGCCCACTGGTCACCATAGCCGATCGAACTCCAGACGAACCGCACTACCGTTCATACTGGCGACAAACGCTCTGATGAGACAACGAAACCTTACCCCCAAGCTCCTCATCTGATCCTATCCTTCAACAATGTACCTCTCTAACCTCGAGTAAGCCGCGAGTATTCGGCCCAACTCCTACTAGACATAGAGTTAAGTGAATTTTGTTACAAACAAAGAACAATGAACTATCGGCTCCGTAAAGCTTACGCGATTGAGCCTTCCAAATAAACGAACTAGTTAAAAAAACGTAAAAGTAACATTACAAGTTTTGTCGAGGTTTTTACAAATGAGAATCATAATATTATTCAGGGGATCCTGAAAGCAACTTTGTAGACATCTTGGGATGGTTCCAAGGAAATTCTTGAAAATGAAGAACTATTGAACTGAAGATACAATTTTGGATGAAACTGATCTGGCGCTCATAGCATGTCCGTCCCACAGCACAAATCTGGAAACCGAGAAAAACGTGTTTTAAGTTAACTTCGTTCCATGGTCTATTGTGTGATGGGACAACCAGTTTTTATAAACTTTTTCAGAACAAAGTTGTTTAATTCATCCAGTATCCAGTATTATGAAAATATGGATAATCAGCTACTATTTTCGTTTAAAAACTCATTTTGACATAAATACACATCACTAAGGACGAACTTGCAATGTGCGGCAGAGATGCATTTTAAATGCATTTTCCAACTTGTCCTATGTGAAAAGTAAATATGTTTCAGTTAACACAACTTGCACATTCGAGTGTCAATTCAGTGTAACAAGTGAAATTCAGTGCAATATCATACAATTCAAATTACTATTAGGTATGTGTAGGTACAACAGTCGATATCGATATAAAAGCGCGTCAGTATAATCCTCAAAATGACGCAAATAATGATACAGGAATAGAACACCAACAGCGCACGGAAAACGTGAAGCAGTTTGTAGGTACTTACCACACTGCCAAGAACGGGAGCGAAATCGCGCTGCACGTTGTGATTGTAATCGGACAGTGCGCTCGTTGGTTTCGCGGCACGATCAAATTGAGGAATTTTCATTTCCCTTTCTTCCAGGTTTTCCTTCAACGAGCGCTTATATTCATAGGCTGCCTGCAGTTTAGCTTTGCGTTCATTTGCAATACGCTCGTGTTCTTCACGCTCCTGGGCCAGCCTAGCGCGCTCCAAATCCAATCGGTTTTGTGTTTCCTGTTTCTCCTGAATTCTAGAAAATAAAAAAAAACGAAATTTGAGAACATTTTAAATACTTTTAAAATTGTTTATATTCGACTACCTTCGACGGGCCTCTTCTTCCAGAGCAGCAGCTTGTTGATTTGATATGCGTTCTCCCTTTTCTTTGCGTTCTTTCTCCTCATATGTACGCACTTGCTCCCTTAGGAATTTATTCTCGTTTAACTAGTTACAAAGAGACAATTTGGATTAGTCAGTAGTACATTAACTAGGTATGTTGATAAGCGAAATTTGTCGAAATCAGGTTAGAAACCGATTGATCTGCAGTGTACACCTACGTAATCTTTCTGCGAATTCTCCAACTGTAGTAAACGGTACTTAAGTTCGGTGGTCTTTTCACGCAGTTCCTTTTTCTCCTCGTCGTCAGCGACTTCTGCCTCAATGGCATGAATCTGCTTTAACTCGTTTTCAGTCGTAAGCATATCACGCTCATTCTGGATCGATTTATCCACTAGCTTTTCCTGTTCATCCAGTATTTCACTTTTGGTTTTTGCCTCGTATATATGTAATGCAGCTGCCTTGCTATTTCGATCAACCGCAGGGCGACCTGTCTGCGAACCGAAACTGTCTTCCTTCATACGAATGTCACTGATGTTCGGATACTCGATGTCCTCTGTAACAAAAAAAAACACGAGTTATTAAGACAGTGTTGAATTGTGAATAAAAAAGTGCTTACCAAAGCGAGGATTATCACTCTGGTCAGTGGTTGATGGAGAATAGGTTGGATTTGTGCAGCACATAGGATAATGCAACACAAAATCCTTAAAACCACCGTCAACCTCGAGAAAAGCTTTTTTGTAAACCACATCTGGATCCCACTAAAAAGAAACATTAGTAAATATCTCAAAATTAAATCATTCCCAAAACACCCACATCTTTCAGTATATTTCCCAGCACCCACAGGGGTGTGTTCTTTTGAGGAGTGCCTTGTGTATCGTTATCCATTAGCACAATCTGCTCCTTCACCTTACGAGATGTCCAAAGGGTTTTGCAATCCGAAGGCAATTTATCGTGAATTTTGCCTGCCGTCATTCCAGCCACCAATAGAGTATCCGGTACATTCACCACGTAATCGTACTTTATTTGCGAGGAAGCGAAATCTTTCTCGGAACGACAATCCATAATTAGCATACTAAGCTTATTGTTACTAATCATCTCGAAAAGCTCCTTAGCGTTTATCGAATGTTTCACATGTGAAATTATAGGGCTTATGTTGTCCTGCAAACTTCGAATTTTATTAATTTCTCTCTCATTTTGCGCATAAGAGCTAGCGTATCGTCGGCTTAGACTAGTCTTTAGTTTTTCCAGCTTATCGCATACAGTGAGAATATCTCTATTTGATCCTAGGGCCTCCGAAATAGCCCTCTTCTTGTCTCCGTATTCCCGATGCTTCTTGATGGTGTCTATAAGACTGATATATTTCATATAGTGAATGAACGCGGCTTCTTCATCTCGATTCAGATAGTGCTCATCAGCGCTTTGCTTCAGAGCATTGGCACCAAAGCAAAGCCTCATTACTTTCTTAGTTTCGACAGCATTTGGCAGTTTGTATTGTTCTTCCAAAGCATCCATACTTCGGGCCAGATGAAGAGGCTTTAGCTGTGCCATTTTTGGAATCTTCTTATCACGAACAACTGCAAAGCACTTCAGCTTTTCCTATAGCTGATAAATCTTACAGTTTTCAAAAATGTAAAACACTTGTTGATAGATATTGGCAAACATTTAGAACATTAGCAGCAAATAATGAAATAGACGGTAATTACAATTTTTATTGCTAAATGATTCCTTGCGTTTATAAAACTATTTTTTACCGAATACTCACGTAACATTTGAAAACGGCCCATCAACTTTTGTAATCAAAACTTGTTAGGTCCTTTTCATGCGTTCCGAAGTACGCCCATGCAAACCAACACCATCAGGCAGGTTAAATTATCTTCTTTTGGTTTGTAGGGTAAATTATTTTCTTTTGGTTTGACTGGGCGTACTTCGATGCGCACTAAAAATGCCTAACAAGTTTTGCTTACAAAAGCTCGTAGGTCTTTTTCAAATGATATGCGAGAAATTTATCAGAAAAACATCCACTGAAACTCCGTGTTGACACTGTTGACGTGACAGATCAGCAACAAACAAAAAAACAGCGCATTTCACACACGATAATTACAACAAACCCTATTATGACTATAAAGTACGCTCTTTCTTTGGAAAATGGGACTACCCGCATAAACGCGAACCATCACATGACCTTACCGATAATGGTTATAAATTGTTTATAATCCCTGCTAAACTTCAACTGAAATGGTTATGGAACCTTACATGAACGTTTGTGTGATAAAGTTTTAACCTTATGTGTTATGGTTTTTTGGAAGCGGACCTTACAAATAATGGGTTGTTAAGAACCATTACCATTCCAAATTCTTGTTTTCTCCATACATTTTCGGAAAGAGAACTACATATTAGAACGTTTTTACTTATGGTTTGAGAACATTAATGGTTATGGTTATGGTAGTCAGTAAGGTCCATTAATGGTTTTGTATTATCACTCAACTTTACGTGAAATATATCGTGAATTGGTAATCAGTAATTTACAGGCAACCAATTCGCGATATATTCCACACACTTAAACAGAGACCCTGAGTTCGGTAAAAAAAATTACCGTCTTAGGTCGGTAATGCTAAAAATTACAGATGTTTCGGTATTTTCTCGCTTTATTGCTGAAAACTGTAAATGAAATGACCGAATTTCGGTAATTTTATTTTAATTTACCGAAAACGGTAAACATTTTTACCGGCAGGTCTGTATATCAGCTTCATCACTGACTTCGGTGAAATATTTTACTGAAGTTTCGGTAAACAAAGCGTTCCATTACTGAGTTCGGTAACGGTCTAGGTAAACGTCAAATCCACCATATTGTTATTTTCGATCGACATTAAAAGCGTTCGTGCTTGTGAAAAATAGAAAAGGTGAAATTATGGAGGCTGTTATGCAACCGAGCGATGATCGAATCGTAGATATTTTCCGTAAATAATTAATTTTCGTTATCTAAATAAATACCGATGTTGTTGCTTGTTTTTTTTCTGTCGGTCGAAGTTCCATTCCCGTTGGCGACGATCTGAAAAAAGCATTTGGAATCTTCTTCCAATGCTTCCTTGTTTTCAGTGTAGCGCCGAATCTTTCCGACAAAAACTTAATTTTTCAGATCGCCAACGGTTTTGTTCATTGGTGCTGGTGCCACCTTGAAACAATATTAAAGCAAATTACAGTTGTGTCGGTGACCTTTTTAAAAAATTACAGATCTCTCGGTAATTTTCAATTTGCATATCGTCCTCAAAATTACAGTTCTCCGGTGACAAATCAAGCAATGCACATCGGTAAACGTTACCGATCGTTCGGTAAATTTGACAGCTAATTTTTTTGATCCAGTTTACAGATTTTTCGGTAATGTTCTAGATTACCGAAAACATTACCGACCGTTCAGCTGTTGAGAATTCGGTAAATGAATTACCGAAGTCGGTGATTTTTTCTAAGTGTGCACATAAAGTTGATCGATGTTACAAAACCATTCATGGACCTTACTGGTTACCATAACCATTACCATTAATGTTCTTAAACCATAAGTTAAAAGGTTTTAGTAAAGTTTTCTTTCCGAAAATGTATGGAGAAAACAAGAATTTGGAATGGTAATGGTTCTTAACAACCCATTATTTGTAAGGTCCACTTCCAAAAAACTATAATACTTAAGGTTAAAACTTTATCATTAAACGTTCATGTAAAGTTCCATAACCATTTCAGTTGAAGTTTAGCAGGGATTATAAACAATTTATAACCATTATCGGTAAGGTCAATTTATGGTTCGCGCTTATGCGGGTACCCAATAGAGGAGTATACTGTTTTTACTCTCTTTTGCGTAAATTGAATGTACGTCAGAATCTACATACTTTTTACACGATACACGCTAAGATAAGATTATCTAAAAATAGGTTTTAATTTTACCTAAAATTAGGTATTGCTAATAAAACCTAGCATATAGGTAAAATTTACCGATAAATAACGTTACTTTTTACTAATATTATGAGTAAAGTGCGTTTTCAAATATTTACTTTATTTTTTACCTAAAATTGGGTTAAAATTTTGTCACTGTGCAACGAGCACACAAAATATCAGTGCCAACATTTCAAAGGGGCGTAATTGCATTTGTAAACAATGCCTTTAGCCATCGATTTCTCGCGAATAAAAGCTCACTAATGAAAAATAATGACACCAACAGGTAGAGGAATGTTTCCTCTACCAGCTAGCATTGTTATTTTGAAGGCGTGAGCTTTTATTTGCGAGTAATTAATGGCTAAAGCCATTGTTTACTAAAGCAACTACGCCCCTTTGAAATGTTGGCACTGATATTTTCAAATATAAATACACAGAGAAAAAAAGTACCCTAAATTTAAGTTCTTTTTACTTAATTTTGGGTAATTTCGAGTTTTGCATCCCACTCTCACTTTTTTTTGTTGTCAAAAACGGAACGAGAGATTCGACTTTCCCATGACTATCGTTCAATAAGCTACTAGTGAGTATGTGAGATATTCTCAAATTTGAGTCAATTGAACTTAATTTTTGGTAGAAAATACTCACGAGTAAGTAATTATTTTTGCCGTAGTCAAATGTAAACTACTATAAGCGGTTTACTGAAAATTAGCTTATTCAACGGAATATGGGAGATGAGTGAAAAGAACTTATTTTTGGGTAATTTTTCGGTTCCGTATAGATTAAAAGTTACGCTAAATCGCAACTCTCCTGACCGACGCATCAAGGGGGGGAGGTGGCTGTCAAATACGAACAATCTTTGCCTACCTCGCATAACTGGTTCCAAACGTAAACAAGCCATAAGAAACCTACAGCATTTGTTTACGTTTGGAACCAGTTTCATACAAGATGATTAGTAGGCTGATTTGACAGCACGTCCCCCCCCCCCCAGCGACACATAGCTCGGTATAAAGAGAGAGAATACACACTTAGTATAAAAATGGTTTATACATGGAATGGTATAAAGTCGAAGTTTTCCTTAAATGTATATTTTGTGTTTAAACGCCAGATGGGTGTTTTATATACATAGTTTCAAGCAAATTGTTTTGTTGTTCTGAAAAACGATATTTTACTAAAAAGATGGAGACGTTCGAGTGTACCGTTTTATTCTTCAAAATTAAGATAATTTTGAGCAGTAGCTATGGCTGAGGCTGATGCACCATGTGGCAAGTGGCGAGTAGTTCTTCTGGCTCTTTTAATAGCATCCGTGGCGTTCGTAATTTCAATTTCGGTCGGTTCAATTCGTGTTAAGAAGCATACGTTCTAGGAATTAGAAGTACTAGTCACTCTGTATAACAATAGTTAGGTTCATCGTCTTGCGGCTTTGGATCTGACTGCTAACTTGCTGGGTCACAGGCATTGAATGGGTCTGGAGCTTTTCCCAAAGGAATACTAATGGATGTTTTGGTTTGGCCACTTCTTCCTCTTCCTCATCATCACTGCCTTCCTCTATTCATCATCCTCCAATAAAGGTCCAAAATCGCTTTCCTTTGCCGATAAGTCTGAATCCAACTCGTAGTGAACCACTGTGATGTCTAAAAATGCAAATTAATCAGAAATAAACCTCCACCCGAAAATCCACCCAACTCACTTTTCTTCAACTTGCTCCTCATTCGGTGGGAAGTTATAGCCAATTGGCGTTGACGGCGACTCTGTAGCTCTTTACTCCTATGAGAAAATCCATAAGCAAACGTCAGACTGTGCGTGAGACATGGCGGACTTTGTACTATCCTTTCACTCCACCGAAAATTTCTATAAGAAACTGTCTATATTTGCTGAAAGAGCAATTTTTTCGACGGTGCCGTCAACGCCAATTCCAGCTTGCTCTTCCTCCTGTCCTCCGTTTCGGGCGTTTTCAGGGTCGTTGATGCTCTGTCCAGTTTATAGGTGCTTTTTTGCAGAAAGCCATTTCATTTAGTTGATACTTTTCCTCCGAACATCATTGTCTTCGGAATCATCCATGATCCTATGGCATCCACCTCCCTACTTGGGTAAACTCTGAACGACACCGTTGTACCTGTAGGGTCACACTAACTTTAGATTACTGGAGTCAGTAAAATTTTACTGGGTTTTTGAATTGCGGATCGCCCAGTAATCATCACAGCAAAAATTTGCATTACCGAATTGTCCGTAAAGTCAATCTGTCAAAAGTAACTGTTCATTCAGTAATTGGTTCGAGTTGCGTATACTGAAAAGCCCAGTATTTTTTTTTTGTTTATTTTGCTGCAATTTAACTGGCAAGACAGTTATTTTGTTCATTCTTGTACCGTGTTACCCAGTTTTGTCACGAGAAAAAAAACTATTTAATTTTAATAATAATAACATACCCGGGAGGAAAATCATTTATTTCAATTTTAATTGCATTTTATTTTTCTCAAATCAAAAACGTTTGTGCTGATAGGAAACAACAACAACCATGAAATCATTCCAAACTTTCCCCGTAGTTGTTATATTTGCAACCCCCATAAATACTGACTTGAAGGATGCAAAGAATTGCTGAGAAATTCCTATTCAAAGGAATAGTGACGTTCTTCCAGGAGATAATTCCATCGGTGTTGCCTTAAGAGAATTTTCCGCGGGCGTAATGTGTAGGAGTTTCATGGTTTAATAATGGTATTGGGTCATCCATCTAATAGAATCGAAAATAATTGATCACAAGGCATAGCCAAATCATGCACTATACGTACTTGAATACATTCAACGATTCCGTCTTGTTTTCTTGCAAATTTTCACAAAAC